CGCCGCCGTGAGAAGTGTGCCGATTTTGGAGGAATGTACGCTCAAAACCGGAGGAACGTCCGCTCACCTGGAGGACTGTACGCTCAAACCGCCGCCGTGAGAAGTGTGCCGATTTCGGAGGAATGTACGCTCAAAACCGGAGGAACGTCCGCTCACCTGGAGGAGTGTACGCTCAACGGATTCGTAGAAGATACGGATAGCGGATTTGATAGGATCCCTGGTCGTGCGTTTGGCTAGCGGATCCGTAGAAGATACGGATAGCGGATTTGATAGGATCCCTGGTCGTTCATTTCTCCAACGGATCCGTAGAAGATACGGATAGCGGATTTGATAGGATCCCTGGTCGTTCATTTCTCCAACGGATCCGTAGAAGATACGGATAGCGGATTTGATAGGATCCCTGGTCGTTCATTTGGCTAGCGGATTCGTAGAAGATACGGATAGCGGATTTGATAGGATCCCTGGTCGTGGGTTGGGCTAGCGGATCCGTAGAAGATACGGGTAGCGGATTTGATAGGATCCCTGGTCGTTCATTTGGCCAACGGATCCGTAGAAGATACGGAAAGCGGATTTGTTAGGATCCCTGGTCTTTCATTTGGCTAGCGGATTCGTAAAGATACGGATAGCGGATTTGATAGGATCCCTGGTCATGGGTTGGGCTAGCGGATCTGTAGAAGATACGGAAAGCGGATTTGATAGGATCCCTGGTCATGGGTTGGGCTAGCGGATCCGTAGAAGATACGGAAAGCGGATTTTATAGGATCCCTGGTCGTGGGTTGGGCTAGCGGATCCGTAAAAATACGGATAGCAGATTTGATAGGATCCCTGGTCGTGGGTTGGGCTAGCGGATCCGTAAAAATACGGATAGCGGATTTGATAGGATCCCTGGTCGTGGGTTGGGCTAAGCGGATCCGTAGAAGATACGGATAGCGGATTTGGATAGGATCCCTGGTCGTTCATTTGGCTAGCGGATTCGTAGAAGATACGGATAGCGGATTTGATAGGATCCCTGGTCGTTCATTTGGCCAGCGGATTCGTAGAAGATACGGAACGCGGATTTGATAGGATCCGTATAACCACCAATGTACTTTTTTGATAGAGTGGGCACTGTCAAACCTGTCTATGTTAATAAGAAAATCTAATGAGTGAATGAAAAAGTTTATTCCTCTCGATCCTTGCAAATGTTTTTATTTAAGGATTCGTGCAAATGATATATCCGTATTCGTTTACAGTTAGGGATTCGAGCATATAAAACATCGTATCCATAGTGTATCTGCTATCCGAGCGGATACGGTATCACATCCGTTGGGTATTTTGTCGTATCCTTCACGGATTTGGCATTTGTTCGCATTTGTTCGGAATCTTCCGCATCCGTGACGGATCGATTTGACGGATGCGACGGTATCTGCCGGGATCCGTGGCCATTTTGCCCAGTGAACAGTCGAGGAGCCGCCGCCTGAACCCGTACACGACCGTCCCCACCAGCAGGACAAATGCCACCACCTGTAACAGTTGTCCTTTTCATGAGTAAAGAGATAGACTACGCCAAAAAGCAGTTACTCAAGCAACTGGATATGATTTTGGAAACGGTCAGACATTTCAGCTAGTATCCACTAGCTTTCGTCAGTGACTCACTTTACTTTTTGCATATCAATCAATAGTTTGCGCTTATAAACCTGCATTCTGCCTCTGGTCTCTCAGTCAATGACGAAAGCTAGTGGTCATACTAGCTGAAACGTCTGACCGTTTCCAAAATCGTATTACATGTACCTGGATGTCTATCCTTCATCGATGTAAAGAGATAGACTCTTAGTACACAACAAAGTCTTTTATTCAGCCGACGTTTCGGTGACCGTCTGTCACCTTCCTCAGGGCAATTCTGACTGGTTCACATTGCACTGCAGCACAGGTGTCGCTGCTATAGATAGCATCCCCAAATGTGCAATATTTACATATCTACACATATGCGTGATTAGATTACAGAGAAATGTGCTGCAGTGCAATTTGAACCAGTCAGAATTGCCCTGAGGAAGGTTACAGACGGTCACCGAAATGTCGGCTGCGAATAAAACATGACTTGGTTGTGTAAAAAAAGAGTCTCTTTACTCAGTGTCTTACCAACCTGATGAAACTATTCACGTACTAGTATGTCTGTACATGTCTTATTACCTTTGCCAAGAAGGTTATGTTTTCTGAAGCGTTTGTTTGTGTGTATGTATGTGCGTATGAAATGTATCTACAACGCGGTCCCAAACGTGCAACAAAGACTGACCGTGCCGACTAAAAACACGACCCAGACCCGGTCGAAGAGGATCCCGCAGGCGATGGTCGCGCACAGACACGCCACGAACAGGAACAGCAGGACCGAGCACAGGACCTTGGGGAACCTGGGAATAATGAACGAATGAGTGACTGAGTGAGTGATTGAATGAATTGAGCACTAAATAAATGAATGAGTGAGTGAGTGAATGAATGAATGAATGATTGAGCACTGAATAGATGAATGGCTGGATTGAGGAATGAACGAACTGATTGAGTAAGGGAGAGAGAGAGAGAGAGAGAGAGAGTGTGTGTGTGTGTGTGTGTGTGTGTGTGTGTGTGTGGATGGATAAATGGATGAACTGATGAATGAATTGATTGAGAAATGAATGGATGGATGAATGTATGGATGAATGAATGAATGATTAAATGATGAATGAATGAATGAATGAATGAATGAATGAATGAAATACACAAAATTTCGCAAAGTAAAAACAACCTGGTTTTCTGGCCGCGGCTCTTATTCTCTTCCACTCCGTCCTTTTCTCCTTTAACCATCGCCTCGTATTCCTTTCCCTTCTTCGACATGATGTTGTCAACCGCCACTGCAGCGGACAAAGAAAGCAACTTGTAGTCTTCGCCAAAAAACAGGATATGATAACAGGAAACTGGATATGATTTTGGAAACGGTCAAACGTTTCAGGTAGCATCCACTACCTTTCGTCAGTGACACTGGAGAGTTGTCAGAAAAGCAGGTTTGTAAGTACGAACTATTGATTGATATGCAAATAAGTGAGGACAATTTTTGGAAGTCCTTTCATTTTGGCCGTATACTAATCTCCAAGCAGATCTTTTGGTGGGGTAAGACAGTACCAAATTGGCCAGTCTGTAACCATTTCCCCACCTCACAGACTGGCCAATTTGATACTGTCTTACCCCCACCAAAAGATCTGCTTGGAGATTAGTATACACCTACAAAATCACAGCGGTTATACAGATACCGTACCTTTCATCAGTGCGAGTAGATACGTCTTGCCCATGCCCCAGCCGCCGTATATACAAACATAAATATGCGCGTATACCGTACCTTTCATCAGTGCGAGTAGATACGTCTTGCCCATGCCCCAGCCGCCGTATATGCCCACCGTCAGCGGCATCTCCGTTCTCTCGTCCGTCACGATCTCTGCAATACTGCGGGCGTACACGTCGTACCCGAGCGGGTCCCTGTCGGGGTCCGGCAGGTTTCCCGGCGGGTCCCGGGCGGGGTCTCCGCCCTGCACGGTGCGAGGCAGGTGTGGGTCCCACCGCAGTGGCCGCACAGACGGCCTAGAACCGGTAGGTGGCGCTTCTGTAGAAATAATGACGGTAGAAATGCTGGTTGGCGTAGAGGCGACTCGTTCCCTGGGACTTCCGGTACTGGGGCTTGCTTCTCGTACCTCGGTACTTCCGGTACTAAGGCGTGCCTCTCGTTCCTCGGTACTTCCCGTACTCGGAAGCGTTTCCTCCTCAGTCCTGCCTTTCGGTCCGCCTCGTGCCTCGGGTACTTTGTGGTCAGCACCATCTCGTTCCCATGGCATTGCGACCTTGACGTGGTCCCCGGGCCGCTGGGCGATACAGACTTCCTCGGGTATTTCCGGCCCGGCCCCATCTTTGGGCTCGCTGGAAATCACGACTTCGTCCGGCATTTCGAGACTGACTCGTTCCCGACTGCTTCTTACGTGATTGGAGGGCGGCTGGGGACTACAGTCGCCATTGGTCAGTCTGGCGCCCTCTCGTTCCTCGGCCAGTCCGTTCCTGACGGGCTCAGCGGGCCCTCCGGTCCGGTTGGGTCCCACGCGCTCGGTGCCGTGGTACGGAGCGGTGTGCTCAGCGGGCCCTCCGGCCCGGTTGAACCCTACATGCGCGGGGCCCTGGTACGGAGCGGCCAGGCTGCTACTGGAACTGCTACTCGCCTCCAACATCTCCACAGGCTTGTTGTACACTTTCCTGTGCACAGGGGGTGCAGGGAGGTGCCCTGCCGCTGGAGGGCGCTCGTAGACCACCGACTGGTCTTCCTCTTCCCAGGCCAGCGAGGACCGCGCCGAGGACCATTCATCCGGGGACTTGGGCACGGCCCCTCGTTCCCAGGTGTCCACCAGCACGCTCCCAGGATCCTCTGCGGGCCACTCTCGTTCCCCGTCCGTTCCGGTTCCGTCGTAATCTCGTTCCCCGGGACTACCATTCAATCCCGCGAACTTCGCGATTCTCGTTCCCAGGTCTTCGTCCGAGCTGCTCGACTCGTTCCCAGGGTCCTCGCTCTCTGCTGAAGGTAGTTTCTTGTAGCGGATGATTTTGCCACCCCAGGGTTCAGGCTGTGAGGCGGCCATTCTGGCGTTTTTTCTCTTTCTTTCTTTCTTCCTTTCTTTCTTTCTTTCTTTCTTTCTTTCCGTCTTTCTTTCTTTCTTTCTTTCTTTCCCTCTCAAAGCTGCACGTCAAAAGTAGACAACCCGCTCTTGATCGTTCTGAAACGAGAATAACGCACCGTTTGAGTGTAAGATCTCCCTTAGTACTGTATTGAACTAGATAGGCACGGTTATGGATACGATATATACCGTAATAGACTATCCAGAACCGAGAACCGTGCCTAATCCTAACTCTAACCCATTCAGGCATAGAACTAAATAGGCACGGTTTTGGATACGAAATAGAGACTATTCAGAACCGTGCCTGATCCTAGCCATAACCCACTGAGGCAAAGAACCGAATAGGCACGGCTGTGGATACATCATACGAGTTTACCATCCAAGGCCCGATTTCTCAGTGTTACACTGCCGGTGTTCTCTCGATCATTGTACCATTTGTAGGGACCAGATGTCGCCCACGGGTTACTGACGCTCACGATTTAATCGAATCGATTTTAAGTGAAAAACACACTCGGTTCTAGCGATGTTCAAATTTTGAATTCATGCATGGAGGAGCTGAAGGTCTAGTCTCTACCAGACTAACTACGTTATAGGAGAAAATTTGCCAGGGGAGTTTGGCCGCCTTGTAGGTTTGACTGATATTAAAGTATTGAAAAGTGACAGGTAGTGCGGACCTTAAGGGCCGTCACACAGGTAAGCTTCACTCAGGCGGAACATCAAACAAACTGCCCGCAGGTGAGAGCAGGTATAGAACACCTGTTTGTCGCCGCTCCAGTCAGGCGGGACTGTAAACAAGCAGACTGTCACTTTGTAATACCTTAATATCAGTCAAGCCTACAAGGCGGCCAAACTCCCCTGGCAAATATTCTCCTATATAGCCAACGTAGTTAGTCTGGTAGAGACTAGACAGACTAGACACCGACGAGCACACAAAACACTTTGCCTGGAGCGTTTCCTGTTGTTTACAAAAACGTGACGGACCAAATATTACTGTGTCCGTTTTTCTTCGACATCCGTCAGGTGACAGCCTTAGGGGAGGTAATGAAACGGGGGGGGGGGGGTATAAGGCTAAAGCGCTACCAACTGATCCGTCTGATGGGTCTAGACCTTTTCGCCGAATGGTTAGAGCGTTGGGGTACGAACTGGCACCCGGTGTGTTTTCGGCTTACCTTGTACTAAAGAGCTGTTGTTGTTGTTGTCCTTGTTTAACGTCTTATATCTCGCTAGACGTGGTCTCTTGGTGCTCGTTTTCGCTTGGTTCAGTTCCGAGTCACAAAGTCTCTCTAGGTATTTAACTCGTGGGGCCTTAAGGCGAAAATTTTGCGTAATTCGTTATCACACCAGAGCTTGGGACATGTTTTGTATATGCCAACAGTTCATGACTTAAGACATGGTGACAGCACACTCAACTTATATCAACTCATTTTATGCCGCCACCACCAACGTTAACGCCAGAGGGCGAATACAGGACAATACTCAGGAAAGTCGTGCAAAGTGCCTTTCTCAAGGGCACAAGAGGACTCGAACCAGGGGCCTCTTGGTTCCGACTCGAGCACGCTGCCGCTACGCCACACGACCCCACTTAATTACGATTTAATCGAATCGATTTTAAGGGTGTGTGTGTGCGTGTGTCTGTGTGTGTGAGTGAGAGTGTGTGTGTGTGTGTGTGCGCGCGCGCGCGTTTGAGTGTGTGTGTGTGCGTGTGTTATGCGCGTGATTATTATTTGGTAGTCTTCCTATCTGTAGTGATGTACGAGACCAGAGCTTGTATGTTTTCGGCTTACCTTGTACTGAGGGGCCGGCAGGACATGTCTTGTTGTTGTTCTCCCACCTTGTTATGGCGGCGGTCCCCCGTCAGTGACCCGTGTCCTGCCCTGAGCAGCCGCCGGTATTTAGCGGCTTGCCGAGGTGCGCTAATTCTGGACCCGTCCGACGGGTTCTGCGTTAGGGAATGCATCTGTAAACGTAGCAGCGACACCTGTGCTGCAGTGCAGCGTGAACCAGTCAGAACTGCCCTGAGGAAGGTGACAGACGGTCACCGAAACGTCGGCTGAATAAAACTTGTAGATAGGTAAATATTGTACATTTGGGAATGCATCTATAGCAGCGACACCTGTACTGCAGTGCAATGTGAACCAGTCTGAATTGTTTTTCTAATCAGAGCAAAGTGAACCTGATCTTAACATCGTAATCGATGATATTCGGTTCAATATAATGTCATATCAATTCCCCTCGCTTAAGTACACAGCACATTCCATCCCAAACTATTAAATACGTTATACATAATACATAATTGCATGGTACATAATTAATTGTCATAAAGTAGAAAATCTCTTAGAGTTCAACAGGAATCTGTTCACAGCAGTCTTGAACTTAGTTATATTAGGATTGTCAGGGAAGACCGAGGCTGGTAAGGAGTTCCACAGCCTGCTAGTCCTTGGAACTGCCCTGAGGAAGGTGACAGACGGTCACCGAAACGTCGGCTGAATAAAACACTTGGTTGTGTAGAAATAGTCTCTTTACTCCGGTTATGCGTTACTCTCCAAGCAGATCCTAGGTTTGTTTGTTTCGCATAACCGGTACACCGCCTTTAGGCGTAACACACATCAAGCTGCGTAAGACCGGACTGTAAGGTTTGAACCACTCACACCGGGAAGGTCCCTAACTCTTTTCGATAAGTGTGGTGGGTTCTTTACCGTGTGTGGGGTGTGGCCCTCTTAACGTCCTATTCAAGAGACGTACCTTATCGAAGCTAGGTACTCATTTACACCTGAGTGAACTGAGGAAAGTGGTGTAAAGTGCCTTTCTCAAGGGCACAAGATCGGTGACGTGGGCATGTGCATGTGTGTACACTTTAAAAATAAACACAAGACATGTAAACAAAGACTAAGTTGAAATTGGGAGGAAAAGTTTACTTTATAACTAAAAAGGTCACAATCTTTGCAGCCACTAATCAGAATAAGGAATGACTTTCATCACTTCATAGCCTGGAAACAGGCTTGCCAAAGACTACACTACATGGCAGGTAACAAAACAGGACTTTACAAATGGCAGACTGCCAAAATGCACTTCTATTCGTCAATTCGGAATACTGTGCAGCAGACACTCTTAAGGTTAACCTTGTCCCTGCTCCCTAACCCTGTAACTGATACAAACTTGGTGCGAAATGACTACCTTAGCAGGTTGAAGGTTGGCATAATAATAACATCCAACCAAAGCCAACCTGTGATCCTGTGCTGAAAAAAACATACAGAAGCTGGTGTGTTATGCCGAAGGGCGGTTACACCAGCTAAACTGTGGTGGTTATTAACCTTCTACCTGCTGCCTGACCCCATAACAGGTACAGGTTTGGTGCCAAATCGCTACCTTAGCATGCTGAGTATGGCCATGTCCCTATTGCCTAAACAGTTGTGGTTATTAACCTTCTACCTGCTGCCTAACCCCAGAACTAGTACAGGTTTGGTGCCAAACGGCTGCCTTTGCAGGCTAAGGGTTAATGGCCATGTCCCTAGTGCTGAAACTGTGGTTAGTAAAAATGTAGTTTGTTATTGATGCCATCAGTTGGCCCCCTGACCCCTCAGTTTGCCCCCTGACCCCCGAGGGTGTTTTTGATCCTCGCCATCAGTTCTGGGTTGCCCATGATCTTATCCACCGTATCCGTGGCAACGGGCAGGCCCATCTCCCGGAGGTACCGCTCCACCATCTGGCGGCTCTGATGGGGGATCCAGAAGATCCTCTCGATGCTGTCCAGGGCCTGCGGGTTCCTCAGAACCCCCTCCACGGCCTCCCAGGTCACCTGAACCCCCATGCTCAGCAGGTAGGCGATGACCATCTGCTGCTTCTCATCCACATCCGAACCCTGCTCCCCCCCTGCTGACCCACTTGGTACGGCCCTGAGCATCTGTCCCTGAACAGTTTGTACAGAAGTGGTCCCCCCTACAGACACACTTGGTACGGTCGTAAGCATTTCTTCCTGGGTAAATGCCACAGACCGAGAAGCCTCCCCCCCTGTGGAGGAGGCACTTGGTACAGTCCTGTAGAGCCCCGGTGGTGTCGGGTTACCGGTGGTCATGGCGACAGACTGCAGGTTTCTGGCCACCGTGGCGATGACGACCTTGAAGACGTCCTCGGTGACCTCTACGCCCTCGTCGAATAGGACGTGCTGACACATCGTCAGGACTCTCTCCCTCCCCGCAATTGTTTTCTTGGGTAGACAGTCGATCACGAGCCTCCGCAACAGCTGAAGTTTCCACATCGAACCGGGGGGCAGCCGCAATCGCTCACAAACCTAGAATATTAGACTATAGGTTATACAGGAGCATGTGTAATTCTTTTATCAGTGCCCTGAATTTTGACACACGATGTAAACAGTTAGTACAAGATGATGTGTGTGTACATATTATCATGACAGCCCCTAACAATATTGTAAAACAAAACCTCTGTGAGTCGTAATACATGTACTGCACTTAGCCAATATGGGCATAAAAGTGTAAATGAACATCACAGAAGAAGAAGAACAGAGAGAGAGGGAGAGATACGGAGAGAGAGAGGGGGAGAGGTGGAGAGAGGGAGAGAGAGGGAGGGAGGGAGAGAGGAAGAGGGGAAAGGGAGGGAGAGAAAGAGAGAGGAAGAGAGTGACAGAGGAAGAGAGAGAGGGAAAGAATGGAGATTCTAAACAAACCTGTTGTATCATCATAGAGTGGGAGAGAAATTTAAGAGGGAGGGAGAAAGAGAGAGGTGGGAGAGAGAGGTTAAGGAGAGGAAGAGAAGGAGAGAGAGGGAAAGAATGGAGATTCTAAACAAACAGACAAACCTGTTGAATCATCCCGTCGTTGTTCTGTGTGTGCTGCCAGGCGAACTCCGGGTCTCCCTTCAGCTCCTCCTCAAAGGTGTTGATCCGGTCTTCCACCTTCGTTAGAAAAATAATTTAATTATGAAAAACTTAAAACTTTTCTCCAACTCAAAATTTGACTCACTAGAAATTTTCGACTGAATCACTCAGTCTTCCTCAGCTATCTGACCCAAATTCTGAGTGATTCAGTCAAAAATTTCTGGTGGGTCAAATTTTGAGTTGGAGAACAGTTTAAGTTTTTCATAAATCATGTAATTTACCAGCTCAGATAAACTTTCATGCTAAAAATAATTTAAATTTATTATAATTTTGCACAAAGTGAAAGGGAGGGCAAAACAGGTGCATACAAGTACAAGTTGCCCTCCCCCATACAAAAACACATATTATATAACATCAAAATTTACATGGTCAATAACCACAAGTATAAAACTAAATATAGAAGGTTAAGCATAATTCAAATATACCTAATAAGTAGTTATAATATATTGTGTTGAAATAAGACTTCGTGCGGTCTAGAAGCAATGCAATGTCCTATTCATTTTTATCCTTAGTATTGCGTCATATTGCGTTACATAATAATCATTTGTACTTATTTAATAATAATCATTATATGTTTTTACTATTTGTACTATTCACCAATTATAATGTATAATGTATCATAAATTTTTGCTGTCGCCAGAAGATCACGGACAAGCCATAATGGCCCTTTATCTTCCTCCCGCATATCTCTTACGTTTAGGATTATGTTGCATTTATCATATCATTTCTTTGATTATATGCAAACAAACAAACAAATAAACAAACCTTCTGCCTCATCCGTTCCCCGTAGTTTTTCTCCACGAACACGAGTAACTTCTGCACAAACCGCTCCAAGATCAACGTGCCTCCCCTGGCTGGCTTCTGCATTGCAGAACGTTCTGCCAGCAACTTCTGAGGCAGCGGGTAGGACACGAGAAACCTTTCCTTAGCTTCTCCAGCTGAGGAATGACCAGACAGAGCCGGGGTGCCAACCGCTTGTGGTGTGTTACCAGCAGTTTGGCGGAGTGAGGCTTGGTCTGATCTGGCTAACGGAGAGCCAGTGTAGCTACCAGCTGGTCCTTGAGAGGAAGGACCAGAAATAGCCAGGGTGCTGGCTGCTTGTGGTCTGTTACCAGTTTGGCGTGGTGAAGCTTGGTCTGATCTGGCTAACACAGAGCCACAAGCAGCTGAGCTAGCTGAACTGTGAGGAAACTCTGCAGACCTTGACTCAATTCCCAAAGTTTCTCTTCCTTTCGAAGCTGGCAGAACTGTTTGCCGGATGTTGAGGTGGAAGGAATCGCTGCTTTCCTTCCCAAAGTCTAAGAAGTTGCCCTCGACACTATCATCTTGCCAAGAACCTTCTTGGCGGAACCCTCTGGTTCGGCTGGTCTGGACTTGTCCTACAGCCGACCTTGCTGCCTGGTGTACAGCAGCTGTCCGTTGCTGTTCCTCCTGTGAGAACGCAGCTGTCCCAACTTGCTGTCTGTAAGCCATCGTGTTCTGGACTTGTCCTACAGCCGACCTTGCTGCCTGGTGAACAGCTGCTGTCCGCTGCTGTTCCTCCTGTGAGAACGCTGCTGTTCCCACCAGCTGTCGGTAAGCCATGCTGTTCTGGATGTGGGACAGAAGTTCTTCGTTCTGCAGAATGGCGTCGATGCCCTCCTCGGTGTGGGAAATCCCCTCCTGTTGGAGGTAGGCTGTAACCGTCTCCCGGGTCTCCCAGTCGGTCCTCTTTCTCACAACTCTTGTGGAAATGCCAGCTCCAGTTCCTGTGAGAGAGAGAGGGATGGAGGGAGAGAAAGAGAGACAGGTAGAGAAAGAGTGAGACAGAGAGAGAGACAGAGACAGGAAGAGAGGGAGAGAGAGCAAGAGAGAGACAAAGAGAGGGAGGGATAGAGGAGGAGAGAGAGAGAGAGAGGACAAGGGAAG